CGGGCCGAGGGCGGGCGGGAGCGGGAGCGGGAGCGGCCGGGGCGGGGCGGGGCGGGGGCGGGCGGGGACCGGCCCCAGGCCCGACGGGACGGGGACCGCCTCCGGCCGCTCGCCCCGCGGCACCCCCGCTAGCCCCCTTCTCCTCCGGGGTGGAGGTGTCGCTGTCCCCGTGGCCCCCCGGGGTGGGATGTCCCCCCGTTCCGGTCACCTGGCGAGAGGGGTGTCCCTGTGAGGGGAGTGTCCCCTACCCTTGTCACCCCCGGGTCCCCTGTTCTGGTTACCGTGAGGAAGGGGTGTCTCTTGTCCCAGGGAGCCCAGGAAGGGGGATGTCCCCTGCCCCTGTGTCCCCAGGGCCGGGGGATCCCCCGCGCGGATCTTCCCGGGGATGGAGTGCACCTACTCCAGTCCCGTGGGGACAGAGTTCTCCCTGACCTGCCCGCCTCGGGGACGGTCACCCTGCGGAAAGGGGAATCCTTTCACGTCACCCCAGCGCTGGGGTACCCTCTGCCCTGAGCTCGACCCCGCAGCTGGCCGGGGACCAGCGGGTGGCTGGGGTCCAGCTCCCAGCCCCACTGTGCTCCCCCCAGCACAGCCATCCCCCGCACCTCCTGCCCTCGTCCCACTCATGGCCGGGAGCCCTGTGCCGCTGGCCCTGGCTGGGCTCCCCGGCCTGGCCCCGCTGGGTTCCTGGCAGCCCTCCCTGTCCCAGCAGCGGCTGTTTGTCTCCTTTTCTTGCCAGCTTTCTTCCCCGCCTGCTTCCCGTGCTGGTCGTTCAGCCGCGAGCTCTGGGCTCTCCCCCATCCCGCAGGGACCCCGGCCGTTCCCCACCTCAGAGTTTGCCCTCACTAACTGCTCCAACTCCTTTAAACGCTGAAACCCTCAGAGAAGGACTTTTCCTTCTTTTTCTTTCCTTTTCAGCCCTGAGCACTCCCAGGTATTTTTCCACGTCTGTCTCTTCTGTAACGCTACTCACGGGAAGAGCAGGAGAAACAAGATGTGCTTCCCGATGTCCCTCCCAGCTGCCGGCTGGCAGTTTGGGGACTTCCTGAGAAAGATTTTGCATCCGGATGGAAGTACCTTAATAGCCCTAATGGATCTACCTCCACCGGCAGACCTCGTCCCTCTCCAACCCATTTACATACTTGGCCTCCCCAGCATCCTGTGGTAATGAACTCGGTGATTTCACGCCCTCATTCTGTCTCCACGGCAGGTCTGGAATAGCTCTGCTCTTGTCAATTCACTGACTGCTTGGCAAAGGAGTTGGTTATGTCCTCTGCACTCTGTAGCTTGCCTTCTCTGTTCAGGTCAGGAAAGGTGAAGTCCGGCAGGATGAGCCAAGTCCCACCAGAGCCCACTTTCCAGCTGCCCTGCAGAGCTCGTGCCCTGCATCCCAGCTCAGAGCTCCATGAAGGGCCCACATCCAGGTTCCTCACTCCTGCTCTTGGACATCTGACAAAAATGTCACCCACTGCCAGGGAGCACTTCCAGTTTCCTCCTTGTGAGGGGAACTAAAAACATAAAGGAGGAGTTGAGGAAACACGAGCTCGGGAAAGTGATGTCACCACAGCTCTGCGGGTGCCAGACCTTGCCCACGCAAATTCTGCCACCCTGGCATTGGTGCTGAGCTGTGGAATAGTGGGGAGGCTTCAAACCACCCAGTGCCCCCAAGGAAATACAGCCCTGAGGCTGCCTGAACACAGTGCTGGAGCACAGAACCGTGGCAGCTTGGAGTTATTTCCAGGCTGAAACTCACCAGCAGCCTTTGAACAAGCGTTGTTCCCTGTGGGGATCAGACTCCTCGAGAAGAATCAAACCCAAGAGACAGCCCTTTTTTCTAATATTCACTGTTTTCTGAAGAAACTCTGCGGGACTCAAATATGAAGCCACGGCCAGAGAACTCACACAGGCTGGTTGGTATTCACACCCTGTGCCAATCCCAACTGCACCCGGAGGCCGCACAGAGCAAGGCAATTCCCAACCCTCAGCAAGGCAATTCCCAACCCTCGGCTGGCGGCCGGCGCGGTGGCTTCACCCCGGGCCAGGGACGCTGAGCCAGGACCGGTCCGAGCTGTGGCACCAGCCTGCCCAGGCCAGCAGTGCCTGGCAGTTGTAACCAAACCCAGGCTTAGAGGCAAATGGCAGCAGCTGCTGGTGTCCTGGCTGTGCCTGTGCTGAGCTCCGGTGCCAAGGTGCAGCTGTGAGGTTGTGAGTATTCAGACTGGTGCCTGGGTGGGTGGAAGGTGCACAGATGCTCAGTCCTGGAAGGCTACAGGTAAGGAGCAGGCACTGCCACAGTCTGGGACCGAGCTCTTGTATTCAGAGTCTCTCTCATCACCCTACATGGAATGGCAGGAGGGCTTGTTAGGCTTCTGTAGGGGCAGTTTTGCCATAAAACGATGGTTTCCTGGTGCTGGAATGTGTCCTTCAGCTGTCTGGGGCTCTGCAGACTTTCATGGTGTCATGGCAGGGCCTGGCACGCTGTTCTCTTTTGCTGGCCAGGGAAACCTGACCCTCCCGAGAGCATCCATCTGAACAGAAAGCTCTGGGAGCTGATGAGTTTTCATAGAATCAGAAACATTAAAAAGATTTTATGGTCCAGAAGAAGGACTCAAAAAATCATTTTCCTTGTGAATCCCAATCGTTTGCTCTCTGCCAGTCCTACTGGGCTGTGCACGTGATCGTGCCTCAGCTTCCCCATCAGGGCAGTTGGAAAGGTACCATGTGTGGGTGTGTTGTGACACACAGCAGCATGGCTGGGTGCTTCTCTGCAGCGTGCTGGGCACAGAGCCCCAGGAGCTGGAGGTGGCTGGAGGCTGACAGATCACACTGTGTCCCTGTCCCTCCTCAGGCAGCACAGGAAATGGGTGGTGTCGCCACATGAGAACACACACAAAACTTGGCCAGGCTTTTGACAGGCTGCAAGTGGACGTTTGCTGTCACCCTGTGTCATTCAGATGGCCCTTGGATGGACACACCCTGAGAAATGCCGCTATGGGGAAGGGCTACAGCTCAGTGTGCTGCAGCATGAGCCATCCCACGTGCTGCGGCTCTGGATGACTCCATTTGTTCACTGGGTAGTGGGATCCCAACCCTTGGGCATCCTAGTCCCCTCCATGGGCAGCAGGAGCCTACAGCCCTGAGCATCTTGGTCCTCTCTGGGTCAGTGGGCTCCAAAGCCCAGGGTGTCCAGGCTGGCCAGTGGTGGCCCATGGCAGGGAGAAGCTGTGCGTGCTCAGGGTGCACCTGGAAAACAGACAGTGGGATGTGTTCCAGTAATTTCCTGGCTGCCTGAGTTCATCTCTGCTTGCTCCAGCTCCACCAAGCCTGCCCGAGCTTCGCTCCCAGCTCCACCACCCCCTCCATGGCCCCACGAAGGACTGGCCCGGCTGTGGGGACCAGAGACAAAGGCTGTGGGGCTCTGCCTGGCCCAGTCCCAGTCCAGCACGCTGCCCTCCCGCAGGCTCAGCGTCCCTGCCCAGCTGCCCAGGCAGGATGTCCTTGTTTTCTGCCTGCAGGTTTGGGAGTGAACGGGAAGCTCGTTTCCTCTTGTCGCCTCTCTGCTCGGATCCTTCCTCCCCAGGATGCTACGACAAAACAAGAGAGCAGAGAGCGGAGCCAGAGCAGCTCCCCCGGCTCTCCAGCTGTGCATGGGCTGGCAGGAGCTGGGGAAGGGTCCCCGAGGGGCTGTGGGTGCCTGCATGGTGCTCAGACCCAGCCAAGCTGGCAGGGAAGGGGTTGGCTTGGAGGCTGAAGCCGTTGGGGGAAGCCATACCCCAACAGCAGGACAGCCACCCCACAGACCCCTCACCAACAGCCTCTCACCTTGCCATCTCCTGCTATGCATCACTTCCTGAAGACTCCCTTGAACCCAATTTAGGGCCATGCCATGGCAGCTGCACCAAAGACAGAATGCCCTCAATGTCACCCTCTCTCTGGGGACATCCTGATCCATGCCACCTCTCCCTACATCCCTCTGATGTGTGTGACCCTGTGCACCCTCTTATCCCCAGCATGGCCCCGCAAGACCAGCCCTCATCCAGGTGCAGGATGCCCCCGTCCCCCATCCCTGCCCGGATTCCCTCTGATCTGGCCGCCTGCAGGTGACGCTTTGTGCCTGTGCAGCGCGGCGGGCGCTGGCTTTTATCTCGGGCAATCCCTGGTGTGCTTGGCACGGCACCGCCCGGGGAAGGCCAGGACAGATTTTTTTTGTGGCTGCCTTATCAGTGCTGAGGAAAATGCCGTGCGGGCTTCCCACAGCCGGGATTTGCTTTGGCCACGGGCCAGCCCGGCCGGCAGCACCGGGGGACCTGCCCCAACGGCCGGCACGTCCTGTTACGTGGCCACAAACACACCCCAACAGTCGATGGGACCCTTCAGTGGGATACTCCCAGATCTGGGACATTCCAGGTGCCGGGATCATGCTGCTCACAGAGGGTTTGCAGCCTGAGGTGCCTTGAAAATTTGTGACCTTGACTGAAACACTGCCCTCCTTCAAAATGGCCATTTTCCTTTCAGGGCTCTGGGTTGTACCCTCATGTCCACCTGTAACCAGTGGGCTGTGAAATGGGTTTTGAAAAGAGATGCCCGCACTGATTATCCCCAGATGGGGTGGATCCTGGGGAGAGGGACATCTGCCCCGTGAGTTCCTGTGACCTCGGTCCCGCAGTAGGGTGAGCTCCCAGGTGCTGCCCCGTCCCCGTGGGAAATGCCCTTGCACAAGGGCAGCAGCCCTGGCAAATCTCTGAGATCCCCAGCCCTCAGCAAGAGGTAGGGACACTGGCCTGCGTGGGGACAATGATGTCCCCATCACCTGCTGGGTGATGTGGGCTCAGCTTCACCCACTGACTTCCAGCTTGTCCCTTCACCCTGCAGAGCAGGATGGGGCTGACTGTGCACGGGGAGCACACCCCAGCCCCAAAATCCCTTCTGCTTCTGTGCTCTCTGCCTCTAGCACCCAGCAAAGACGCTAGCTGAGTCCTTAGGACAAAGAGGGAATGTCCTGCCCTGCACAGCCACCAGCGAGCCAACTCCAGTCTTTCCCTGGGAAGTTATTTCCAGCTGTTTCCATTTCTCCACTCCCCCGCCCCAGCTCCATTCTCCCCGCCGCAGAGCCCTCGGGCTGACGGCATCCGACTCCCTTTTGACATTTCCAGCGGAATCGGGAAAGGCCACGTGTGTCCGGCACACAGAGCGTCCTTCTCCGCCCGGCGCCCCGCGGCCGGCAGGTTCCCGGCTGCCGGGGATCTGGCAAGGGCCAGGGCGGCGCAGCGGGACCTTCCCGACGGGAACGGCACAGATCTGTCATTGAGAGGAGCAGAAAAGCCCCTCTGTGCCGCCGCCCGGAGCGGCGCATCTGGTCCCGGCAGACAATCGGGCCATTGAGCCGGCAGCGGTGGAGCGGGGCCAAGGAGATGGGCTTTCCCACTCCCTTCCCTCCGTGGGCTGGTTCGGAGCCTGAATCCTCCTCTGGGCAGCACCTCTGCCGTTGCTTTCAGCTCTCGGATCTCCACCGGGAACTTCCCACCCCATCTGCACGACAGGAACACGTCCCCCGAGTGTTGCTCCATCGCCGCGGCCTCTGAGAGCTCCCTCCTGCCAGACTCTGTCTGGGAGCCCCGGCTGCCGCGCGGCCCCGGTGCCAGCACCCAGCCGGTTCGTTCTTTGCCGGCGAGCCGAGAGAAGCTGGAAGGCGGCCGATCTACGGGAATTTTTCCTGCAGATGCTGCACAGTGTAGGTGGTGCCTCTGAAGTTGCTGGTCTGAGCCCATCTGCACAGCGGGGACAGGGACAGCCCCGCGGGGACACGGGGAGCAGCCAGGCGTGCGAGACCTGTGTGCCTTCTCCCTTGAGGGGTAGGAAAAGAGGGACAGCCCCCCAGCCATGGGACATGGGGCAGGGAGCACCGGCAGCGCTACTGGACGCCGGGGGCACTGTGGGCGGCGGGAGTGCTGCTCCGGTACCCTGGCACTGCTCCAGACTCGTCTCTCCCAGGAAGAGGACAGACACCTGAAATAAGGGACATTTGTCAATGATTAAATGTGTGTTTGGGGGATGCAACACGGGCTCTGGGTGTCGAGGCTGA